ACTGGTCGAGGAACTATACAACCCACATATCAGCCTCTCATCGAACGAATTAAGGTATTTATATTCAATACCGACCTTGAGAGCTTCATTCTTGGCAATCTCGTAACCATCCGTGATAACTCTGGGATGCAGCCCCTCGGAGATATACCGATCAGCCTGCTTCAAGAGCTCTCCGACCATCAGGACGACGGACGTCGTTCCATCACCGGTAATATCGTCTTGTGCTGTGGCGGCGCGGGCAATCATAACCTTGTTCGTGTCAGTAGAAAGTGGTATCCGAGTTCGAATCGCAAGTAGCTTACGGCTGTTGGGTTTTGGATTTGCTGCGTCGGTTAACATGGTTCACAAGACATTACAGAGCATAACCTACCATCTCCCGCAAGAGCACATTGCCATCCTTAGTCAATTTGATCTGTATGGGGCCGCCGTCAGATAACGTATTCTTCATTCAAAGAGGAGTGGTCCATACTCCGCCAGCACCATCCACCAACCTACTTCGTGTCAGTATGTTGTCATCATTGGACCATTTCAAAAGTGAAACATACATCTTTAGAGTCCCAGAGGGACCCAAATTAGACTTCAAGACATCCTGAAGACCCTCACCAGCGCTGATGTTCACTTTCAAAGCTTCCGCCCTCCGCTGTGCGGTGTCAGTGTGTGTCTAGATAATTGAGGGGCAGTCCGGAGCTTTTCCCATACCCTCGACTCGGCTTTGGGGTTCAGTAGCTGAGTTGCAGACATCTCTGCAGATTGAAATCGATAACAGAGAACAAGAGAGCACGCGGAAGTACTCAAAAGGAAAATAACACCTGTTGATATTGGTCGCCCAAAAAAGAAACCCGCGTTGGCACAAACTGCTGGTAGGCCCCGGCGAATGCGGTGAGCCTGAGTTTTGGCAAAAAGCCCACATTCGATGTTCGCACTAGCGCCGCCGCGAAAGAAAAAAAAGAGCTCTGACGGTTCGGACTCTCCAAATCCACCTTCCAGCCCTTTTTCAACTCCACGTCGGGACAGAACAAGGCTGCAATTGCAGGTGACCGGTGACTGCGCAGTGGGCTTGGACTCGGATCAATCAACAGACTTTTTTTTGTGTAATTTTGACGAAATTAAGACGATTTCGCCATGGCCGACTACCTTTTGTTCGAGGGCCCTATGGGTTACTCAATCTTCAAAGTCGCTCACCAGGGAGACAGCGTTGGAAATCGCTTGAAGGAGGTTCAAGACGGTGTGGATGATCTTGCGAAGTTCGGCAAGATGGTTGAACTCTCCAGTTTCCTGCCGTTCGAGTATGTTTTTGACCATCTATTCATTTTTTTCTCTTCAAGCCGGAATGCGTATATGCTGACAAACTCTAGAAACAACAAGCAGGCTCTCAGCGAAATCAACGATGTTTCGGAAGGTGTCGCTTCTGACACCCTTATCAACTTTCTCGAATTGAACCTTCCAAAGGCCAGCAAAAAGAAGAAGATCGTTCTCGGACTTGCTGACAAGGCGCTGGCTTCAAGTATCAAATCAGCGTTCCCTTTCGTCGATTGCGAGACTGGAGACACCAGTGAGGTTGTGCAAGATATGCTTCGTGGTATCAGACTGCATGCCACTAAGTTGCTAAAGCAGCTACGTGAGGGTGATATGGATACTGCCCAGCTTGGTCTCGGCCACGCCTACTCTCGCGCTAAGGTGAAGTTCTCCGTCCAGCGTGACGACAACCACATTATTCAGGCTATTGCAATTTTGGACCAACTCGACAAGGCCATCAACACTTTCTCTATGAGAGTGAGAGAGTGGTACTCGTGGCACTTCCCCGAACTTGTCAAGATCGTTTCGGATAACCAGCGCTACGCTCAGATTGCACTCTTTGTCAAGGATAAGAAGACTCTGACTGATGAGAGCTTGCACGATCTTGCTGCTCTTGTGGAGGATGACGAAGGTGTTGCTCAGAGCATTATTGATGCTGCCAAGCACAGTATGGGCCAGGAAATCTCCGAGTCCGACATGGAGAACGTCATTGCGTTCGCACAAAGAGTTGTCAGCCTTTCCAAGTACCGCAAGTCGCTGCACTCTTACTTGGTTTCCAAGATGAGCGTCGTCGCTCCTAACCTTGCTGCGTTGATTGGAGAGATTGTTGGCGCTCGTCTGATTTCTCATGCCGGAAGCTTGACCAACTTGTCCAAGTATCCCGCTTCCACCGTGCAGATTCTCGGTGCGGAGAAGGCTCTTTTCAGAGCTCTGAAGACCAAGGGAAACACTCCCAAGTACGGACTGCTGTACCACTCTTCTTTCATTGGCCGGGCTGGCCCCAAGAACAAGGGCAGAATCTCGCGATTCCTTGCAAACAAGTGCTCTATCGCTTCCAGAATCGATAACTTCTCCGAGGAACCCTCGACCAAGTTCGGTGAAGTCCTGAAGAAGCAGGTTGAAGAACGCCTGGAGTTTTATGCTTCTGGCGCACCCCCTACTAAGAACGAAGTTGCCATGGTATGTTTAGTTTCCTCGATGAAGATCCTGTATGTGCAAGTCACTGACTGTCACAGAAATCTGCCATGGATGCCGTTCTGGCCGAGATGGACATCGACGCTGATGGCAGCGACAAGGAGATGCAGGGCGTCGATGACAAGGCTGAGAAGAAGGAGAAGAAGGAAAAGAAAGAAAAGAAGGAGAAGAAAGAGAAGAAGGACAAGAGCGAGAAGGAAGAAAAGAAGAAGAAGCGGAAGTCCGACGTTGGCGAAGGCGAATCCGAGAAGAAGAAGCGCAAGCACGACAGCGATGCCGAGCCCTCCAAGAAGAAGAAGAAGGTCTAAGGGCACCACTCTATGTTGGGACTAAAAGGGCGTATTCGTCGCGGCGTTTGCAGGGTTGATTTGTCTTTTGTGATTTATCTCGTTTGAGTTCCCTTACATCTTGTTGTTCTGAACGACTCTATTGGGCTGGGTATTTGTAAATTATATGATTGAAGCCTTTGTCGTGCTGAGTCTCTATAGTCCACAGAATCTCATTTGGTTCTAGCTATTTCCTTTCAACAGCTGGATGTCCCTGGGAAAGACACAGGTCTAGGTATCTAATGTCTGACTCGAGAAAATATTGATTATCATCATTCATGAACTCATCAACCTGGCTGACGAAAGTAAAAAACATCATTATGCAATATCTGAATCCTCCTCCTCCTCCTCCTCTTCTTCTTCTTCATCCCCTTCACCCGCGCTACTATCATTCTCATCAAACGTGTCTCTAAGGGCCCATCTGCCGATGAATCTCTCATCCCTGACCGGATCTCGTAGTGAGATTTTGCGACTGTCCATCCACCGCAGCAGGTCTGACTTGCGGATTGTGACATAGTGATCAGGCTCACCGGCAGCCTGCTTTGCCTTCCGCCTTTTGGAAGGTGTCTCAGGTTGAACAATGCCCATTCCTCTGAGGGCCGTAATCACGTCCTCCGTCAGCATCCCAGTGGCCAGCCCTATATCCCTGACGGTCATAAAAGTTGCTGAATGTCGTTTCCGAGTCTCTTTGACGGGCTGTGTCTCTTGTACAAAAGCAACTGTATCGTCCGACAACAAACGTCTTCCGATCCGTTCTTGCCAAAAGCGGGAATAGCTTCGCGCACCCATATCACTCAGTGGCTTCTCGGGACCGCCTATGAAACCCGCATCTTCTTCCCAGCCACTGATTTTATAACTAACACCCATCAATAACTTTCCCAGCTGCTTATGTTGGTAAGGTGGGAAGACCAAAATGCAGGCAAGGTTGTTCGCGTCCCAGGACAGTTTCTCCTTGGAGAAAAATCCTAGAATATGGTATTTTTCGGGGTTCTCAGGATCGGTGAACGTGAGGATGTAGTACAGAAAAGTCGCGACGTCGAAGAATACGGACTTGTGGTCGAGAAACAGCTTGGCAAAGAGCGAGAGGTTTTGCGCATAGAGCTTGTGTTCTTCTCCATCCACCTCCCATACTGAATACCCGCCATGTTCGTAGACCTGGGCGCCGGGAGGTGTTGTCCGGTGTTCGCAAAGTCGCATATGCTTCACATGGTTGTTCAAGTCGCACGAGTAACAGAAACACCAGCAACAGACATACAAACGGTCTGTGTCCTTGCTCACGAGGTCTTCGGGATAGATCGATTGATACCAAGTCTTGAATAAAAGGTCACCTAGTACAACCTGTTTCAGGTTACGCTCGGTCGGGGATTTCACATGGGGAGACGCGCCGTCGGCAGAGGCCATTGAGTGAGAGAGGAAATGGGAGACGTATTACGGTCAAGGCTGTGTGAAAGTGGCAGTTGCAATTCTATGTATGCGACGCTTCCTCTGATGCTGAGCCATCTGCGTAGCAGTTGCTGGGAAGAATTCGGAGGAGAAGCGACGTCAGGGTGTGGTTAAGTTCCAGCGTGCGAGACAATAATGTTCGGAGGAGTTATTCTCAATGGAGTCCTGTGTTGGAAATGATAACCTTGAGACTATTGACCCATGCAATATAATAGATAGTACAAGCACATGAAAGATGCATGCTCTATGGCCAATGGACGATTGATGCTGTTTTGGCAGCGTTCTGATGGATTATTTAGTGGCAATATTTCGTGGAGTGTTGCTCTTGCATCTTTAGCTTTGTCTCCGCCCGTCTGATTACTCTCAAGAAACTCCGAACGCCAACCACATGCGTATTCTGTTGCCTGCTATCCATCTCTGCCTTTATGATTTGATGGATTTTATGCATGAGCCCTGTCCAGCCAGTATCATTTGATTCTCCTCACTTCCCTTTGTCGTAGTGAACAAGGATAATCTGCCGCCAGTCAGAAGCTCTGGTCTCTGTGTTGCCATCCACAGGCAGCAGCATAGCTGCGGCCTCGTCAGCTTCTCGCCGCACCCCCATGCTATCTCTATCTATTTGAAGCTTGTAGCTCTCATCTTTTTCTAGTCTACCATTCTTTCTGTTCTATCAATATCTTCCGTTATCCATCTCAGTTGTGTCTCTATTGACCACTCTCCGATCGGTGGCTATCAGCAGCCATGTTGAAGCCATTTCAGATAAGAGATCTTCATGGATCCCCAACACAAGGAGATGCGTACAACTCTCTCGACTGTCTCCCACAGGGGAACCATGGTCACAGTAACTGTAGGCGCTCGGGCATTGTGCAGCTCTCAGCCTCTGACTACGATGAGATCGCATTGTCTCATCCCCGAGCCCGGTTGACATACGTGGATGATGATGACGGAGAGATTATCACTGTAAGTGTTATGTTCTGGTCAGATTTACACCTTCAGTCTTTAACACATATACTCCTAGGTCGGATCGTCTTTTGAGCTTTCTCAACGTCTGGACGAACCTATATATGATATGCCAATCCAGTCAAACCCTACACAAGATTCCGCGATACCTGAGACCATGCACATCTTCGATATTCGCCGATCTAACTCTGTCACTGAGCTATGGAAGCGATTTGAGTATAATCCGGCTGGCCGGGAAACAGAAGACACAAAGAACGCAGTAGAATCGACAACGGACAAGTCTACTCCTCCTTTACAAGACACCAGAGAATCGAATGCTGGTCTGTCTTCAAATGAAGGTTCCGAATCGCTTTTGGCAGCGTTTGAAATAGAGATGGCCAAGATTCTGAGCGCTTCAGAGTCTCGCAATACCAGCGATGCAGAAGAGATCCCTTCTTCTACGGAAGCGCCAAACGAGTCGGCAAGCTCTGGCAGACGCACAAATCCCGCTGTGGCCTTGGCTCAGGCGATGCACCACCTGATCAACGGAGCTGAAATGATTGGCTCCGAAGTGAGGTCAAGATTGCCAGAGTTAGAGCATCAGTTAGAGCATCATCTGCAGAACGCGCAAAGAGTCTTGCCAGAAAACGTCGGGTCGACTGTCCAGGTGGCTCTTGCAAGCTTGGATGCTCAGATGAGGAATCTGACCAATGCGCTGAACAACGCAAGCAGCGCAAGGGATCAGAGAACCAGCAACACGTTCCGGGGCGAGGTTCCTACACCCGCAGAGGCTGTAGACTGTCTGTATACTATGGCTTCTGAGCTCGGCCAGATGGGACACAGTCTATACTCGGCCTTTGAGACTGAGTTCGGTTCCCGTATTGGAGCGAGAGGTGCAAATCAGCCGTCGGATGGAAGTCTCCAAAATCCGGCGCCGGCTGACGAAGCTGCGGTGAGCCGAGAGCCTTCGGCTGAAGATTCGGTTTCGAGCACTAATACTGGGAAGGAGGCGAATGTCCCGCTAACCGCTGAAGAACCTGATACAACTTCAAGAGGGCAGGGAAGTAAAAACCGAGAGGAGCCGCGGCCATTCAGCAGCCGGACGGAGGAGCCTGGTCTCGCACAGTGCGTCCCATTGCAGCAGGACGAGTCGTCAGAGCTACCCGAATCCGTTCGTCATGGCGCCCCTACGTTCGATCTTCCTTATAGACCTCGTCCGTGGCGCCGTTTCCCTCATCCGTCCCATTGTCATTCCCACCACCACCATCATTCGCATCCTCATCCTCATTCTCGTCCCCATTCGCCTCCGCCTCCCCCGCACCGCCATCACGATAGTCATCCTCATCCTCATCCTCCTCACCATATCCAGCACCATCATCAACATCAGCCTCGCCCCTTTCCTCCGCCGCCCCCACCACATCAGCATCATCATATTCCTCATCTTCCTCACCCACCTCACCCGTTCCATCCCTCGCATATTCCTCGCCCGTCATGGGGAGCCCACGGCCCCTTCCGTCCATCATTTCCGCCTCATCCGCGTGCTCACAACCATGGATCATGGCGCTCCGCGTGGCCATTTTTCCGGCCGCACCAGGAGCACCAGTCTGAAGCGCCAACAGCTGCTACAGACCAAGTCCCCGACGCTGGCGCCGATGCACTCCGTTCTGCAAATGCAGTGTTGTTCATTGGCAATGTAGGGTTCAATGTTAGTGAGAAGACAATCAGAGATGTATTCGCTGCGAAGGGGTTCCTTGTCGATGTCCACTTGCCTTTGGACGCCGAAACCAGGAAACATGCAGGCTTTGGCTACCTTTACTTCCCTTCGGTTCACGCGGCAAGGGCAGCATTGGATGCCTTGCAAGGCACACACATTGATGGTCACTCGATCAATCTGGAACTAAGCGACCATTCGCCGATTACGTCCCTCCATCCTGACCAGGTTCCAGAGTGGGGTCACGCTCGTCGACCGTCGGAGCTGCACAGCTCGGCCAATCCATCTTCGGGAACAGAGCCTGAACGGCGCGAGGTTGGACAAGATGATAAGGGTGAAGAGTCCGTAAAAGCGAGGGAGACACGACCGATTCCTCTGAGAGTGACCGATTTACGTTCGAGCAACGAAGGCACAGATCTTGAGCCGAAAGGAAACAATATCCTGAGCACTACGCCTGACAATTTCCCCCGTCTCACTCGAGACTTAGAGCAGAGCCGCTTCCCTCCCATGTCCCAAATAGACGCTCATGTTCTAACCCACCACCGCCGCGACCCGGACGCATCGATGTTGGGTGCATCCGCGCCCGAGTGTGATGCGAGCCATGGGAATGATGTCCCTGGCAGATCGTGTCAACTGCAAAGTACCCCAGGCTCGTTTCCTGACGATGATGGCGATGGGACGCGGCCAGGTCCATTCCAAGAAGTCGCTCAAACGTCAAGCACAGGTCATGATGATCACTGTAAGCCTCGTCGGTCAAAGAGCATGAGATATTTGAGTCGCAACGGAGATAGCAGCCCCTCAAGAGACTTGAGACGGCGGGCAACTGAGCGACATTCTCTACGCCATGGTACACGGAACAGTGTTGGTGGATTTCACGACGAGGGATGCGCATACGACAACTACTCCAATACTTTCGGGCACTCTCGTCCTCAGAGCCTGACCCTATCGCAGGAAGCAATCTCGGTCCCGGATGAGAACCAACAACAGCCCGACCCAAGACTGAGTGCCATTGACGACTGCGTGGTTAGTCTGATTGGCCTAGGATACGAGAACACACTGGAGGGTGGTATTCAACGGATTGCGGTATATGCAGCCGCAGCGGACGGCAAGGTATCAGACGCCATTGAGATGATTGAGGAAGAACGCAAGGCGTACGAACAGCAAGGTCTTTGAAACAGAATGCTTCATTCATTTTCTCCATCCGCTCCTCTCACCTCTTCACTGTCTGGTTGCTTGTGATATGACTTGCTGCTGTTATACTTGCTTGGTTTAGCATACCATGTGCGATTATGGTCACTATAATGCCTTACAGGCGTACTTTCCTTCAGTAATATCTTGCAATATAAGCGATTCATGAAATACTTTTAATAATCTGTCTTTTTTTCAAACAAGTAAGAACAAACATAGGCTTTTGGTGATGACATCGGCGACCGCGATTCTGCCGTGCGGAAACAGCAGCACTCGGTCCGAGCCGAATTGAGCGAAGAAGATACGGTCTCAGCAATACGGCATCATCACAACACAACTTTTCATCCAGTCTAGTCAGAGCTATGCGGACATGGCAGAGGACCTTTGCCACGTCTGTTGCCAGACTGAATAGTAACGCAACAGGACGAAGCGGCGGTACCACCCTCCTGCGATGCGCGGAAGTTCTCCGGAAGAGTCAGGCTGGGAGCAGCAGTTACGAGAATCAAGAAATCAAGATCAACGGTTTCGTTCGCTCCGTTCGAAAGCAGAAACGCTTCGCGTTCGCAGAGATAACAGATGGTTCGACTATTGAGCCATTGCAGGCGTTCCTGAAGCCTGCGCAGGCGGCAGAGTACGTTGGGAGTCGCGATGAGGGCGTGGATATTGCGGCTTGAGTTGAGTGCTGATGGGTGTTGTAGATTATCTACGGGAACGGCCGTCGAGATTTCTGGGCTATGGAAGGCTTGTCCGCCTGGTAAAGAGCAGAGCCATGAACTCCAAACGACTGAGGTGAAGATTGTTGGCCAAGCAGAACCAGAGGTATGTTGCCCCGACTAGATGAGAGTTATGAGGGTAGAATCTGACTGTTCACTATTTGTCCAGACATATCCTATACAAAAGAAATATCACAGTCCTGACTTCCTCCGGTCGATCCCCCACCTTCGTCTCCGAACACCCTTCAATTCTGTCCTGTCGCGGTTTCGCTCTGAATGCTTATACCAGCTGGGCAATGTCTTTCGTGATGCGCCGAATGGTGGCTATGTACAAGTTCAACCGCCTTTGATTACATCATCGGACTGCGAAGGAGCTGGGGAGACATTTACAGTGCTGCCGCGTGAGACAATCATGGACCCCAAGTCGGAGGGGAACCATTTCTTCCGGGCACCCAAGTACCTGACGGTCTCGTCGCAGCTCCATCTGGAGGCCTACGCAGCCGAGCTGGGAAATGTCTGGGCTATCTCGCCGACGTTCCGTGCGGAGAAGAGCGACACCCCACGCCATCTCAGCGAGTTCTACATGCTCGAAGCGGAGATGAACTTCATGGACGACCTCGACTCCCTGACGGACGCGGTGGAATATGTGGTCCGCGATCTTACTCGCCGGTTGTACCAGTCGCCGGTCGGCCAAGAGATTCTGGCTGCTAAGCGGTCAGGCGAGAGTGGCCAAGACGATGCCGGGAATGGGGCAGTGCCGAACCTTCGACAGCGATGGGTTGATCTAATGGAGGGGCCTCGCTGGCGGCGAATCACCTATACGCAGGCGATGGAGTTGCTCGAAGCGGCAGTCGCTCGGGGAGAGGCCTCGTTCGATTATGCTCCTACGTGGACGGAAGGCCTCCAACTCGAACACGAGAAGTACATTGTCGACGTGATCAACCGGGGTCAGCCGGTATTCGTGACTGATTATCCCAAGGCCATCAAGCCGTTCTACATGGCGCCGTCTCAGGTGGCCCCAGGCAAGGACGAGGACATACGCGCGCCCGGGGAAACGGTCGCCTGCTTCGATCTGCTCCTGCCGGAGGTCAGCGAAGTCGCGGGCGGATCACTCCGTGAACACCGCCTGCCCAACATTATCCAGAACATGCGCGATCACGGGTTGATCAAGGAGCGCTTGTATCCTAGCTCTGGTTCTGGAGAGATGCCTACGACCCAGACGGCCCCTGAGCATCCGTTATACCCCCATCTCCAGCCGTATGAGGACTTGGGGCATTTGCAGTGGTACGCCGATCTTCGACGGTGGGGGAGCGCACCGCATGGAGGATTCGGACTTGGGTTTGACCGGTTTCTGAGTTATCTAGTTGGAGTCTCGAGTGTGCGGGATGTGGTGGCTTTTCCTCGATACTTTGGCCGGGCTGATTGTTAGCCTTTGCTGTACGGAGTAGTAAATGTATGATAGGTATTTTAGCATTATGAACGAATAGACTCCTAGCACCACGCCGAGTGACACACGAGCATCGAATCTTGGAACCTAATCACAATACTCCATACCCAGAAACGACTTACAATATCAGGCCACTGTCCAAAATCTTATCAAATCCCCGTGACCCGTCAGTGCCGTGACCCATTAAAGATTACAGGAAATAAGCACTAAACCTACGAGCCAACGCCAACAAACGCCCCCAACCAAACCCAGGATCCAAGAATAAAGACGAATCAAGGCTCACCTCAGGTTCGCACAGAGCCCGGACTCCATCGACGCAACGCCATCTCGCCTAATCGACGCCATCGCCGACGTTTTGACTCGTATCCAGGCCAACGGGTCGCGCGCGAGGGGATCCGACCGTCCAATCCTGGAGCTGGCCGTGTCGTCGAGACAGCCGGACAAGGGAGCTCGGTGAGATGGTGAGACAGAGTTCGAGTCCCCCATCTGCCATCTGGCGTTCTACGGTTTAGGAGCTGCGAGCTTGGGGAATGACATGCGCCACTTAACCTAAATCTAAATCCTTTGTAATCTCTACTCCGTAACGAAGGGAATTGTATCCGACGAGAGGGGTTGATTCGAGGAGAGAAAACTTTGTATTCCGATTGCATATGACTGGTGTTAGGAGGCTACCTGTGCGTACTCCGAGTTATGTATGCTAGAACGAGGCGAGCGTTGTAACTTACATTCCTCTCTGTCTACTCCGTAGATAGATGTTAGCCTGTAGGATCACATCCTCCGCATTATTTGAGCAATATGCTGCAGGATCCGTCGTTGAAGATAGGCGAGAGTCAAAAGGATTCTTCCCATGATCCTTGACTTTCGTGTTCCGTAGTGTGTGTACTCTGTGGATAAGGACTAGATAATCAGGACAGACTATCTTGATGCTAAAGTTCCACGTGGGGTCTGGGGTACCGTGATTGAGGCAGTAACAACTCGTAAGGTAGCAAACTAGTCAGAATCGTTCTCAGCCAAGCCAGACTGGTTCAGGGCTGGTCCTTGGCAAAGGACGGCTGCTATTCTTGTCGGTCATTTCTAGTGGAGAGGATGGACGATAAAGAACGGAGATCTGATCCAGAAGTTTCCGATAACCTATTAGAGTAGGCGGGTTTGAGTCAAAAAGGAAAATGGACGCGATAGATTGAAGTCTATATCTGTCCTCAGGAATGAGGACTGAATCCTTTGAGAGTATGTTATATTAGGCAGAATGATATGTGATCAACATAATTGAGGCCGTGCCCCTAACACTTCTTCAAGGGTCAAGACTTCCGAGCTGGTGATCCAACGGGTTGTCTGTCCTCTTTGAGAAATAATCATAAGACCGTTGCCAAATTGTCAACAGCCGGGAACTCCGGAAAAGGAAGATCGGAGGCAACGGAGGTCAAGGAAGTCCGAGAACAAGCTGCGGTCTTGGACGGACCCTCGCTAAGGTCGCTACCGAGGCAATGGTGTTAGATGAGAGTAATAGTGGATAAACTCCACCCAACATTTTTTTCCTTTTTTTGTGTCCCATGTTATTGTAAGTTCAGATCTATTATTCATCATAAGGTATCAAGAACAAAACATTGACATTTCCTCGATACTTATGGAGGTACAGAAAGTGAATGCTGGAAACCCAGGTACTGGTAAGATAGTAATACAGTAATTAGTTAGTTAACTAACCTGGCTAGCTGACACACACTACTAGTACAGCGTCACTAACAGGCGCGGAGAAATGCCAAGTTGCCAACCTTACTGGTGTTAAGCATATGGAGCTCGGCCTGGAGGCGCCTGGCATGATGATTCGTCAGTGACTGAATCCCGGCAGACTAATGTATTGCCCTCGTATCACGGCATTAGTTGCGAATACGATGTGTCTGACTCTGACGGTCCGGCTCACCCGGGCTTCTCCTTTTTCTTTTTTCTATTTTCTATTTTTGCTTCTCTTGCTAAGGAGTCAAAGGAGGGGAAAATATTATTTTAACTCTGGGACATGAAACAGACAAGGAATGAGGATCCAAGCCCAGCTCCAAGCCTTGTGGTGCGGCGATCATGCGTGACTGTGTATGTATTTGTATTATAATATAATGACAGGAAGTGTTGGTCTGTTGGTGCCTCTGATTTTGAGCAATGTAAGAAGCAGCATAATAATAATAATAATAATAAAATAATCTTTCACAAGGTATGCTTGGCCTCAACAGAGTTTTTAAGTGTCCTACCTGCCGTCTTTAGGATAAAGCATGGAAGGTCTGCCAGCGGCTAGTGCCACCATCGAAATAATAAAGAAACCAAGGTATTTCTCTCAGCTGCAGCCTAATCAAGGATAGAGTAGTAAGGTTACGAGCGGGGATGTGCTTGGCTCTGCAGCGCTTTGACTCCGAGGGCCAGGGATGAGCTTGATAGGGAGGTGTCGCAGAGTTTTAACTCCTCAGCATTTCTCGTTCATTCCACATTATTGAGTTGCCTTAGCCCCAAGCGCTTGACATGGAGGTAAAAGTATGACATTTAGGCTTCGTATTGAAAGCAAGCTGCAGTAGATTCATGGCCAGGATGAAGAGGATCGTCTCAGGCATAGATCTACCTATCTGGATATCCATTCAAATTTGCCTGTGACAAATCCATAATCCTAATCCTTGTTAATGTAACCATAATCTAAATCAATCTTTCTCTTACTGTTATTTCCCACTTCCCAGTGGATACTTTAATCCCATTATGCTAGTGGAGATAAGCCTGTGCAACGTTTCACAGGGGCACGCCTTGGCAACCTTTAATTCAAATTAAGGGTTGCATTGGCATGACAAATCTCAACCCTTCCAAGTCGAAAAATGCGTCTTTTGATCTGGTATGCTCGATGTTCTATTGAGTTCGTCAGTGTAAAGAGACACTATGCAAGGAGAATGATCAGATATGTACGATCTTTTTTTTTTTACCTTTTCTGGCCATACCAGAGTCTGAAGGTTTGTGATATCATCTCAAGGAGCAAACCAATCTGACTCTGGCATTTGGTCCAGATTGCAATCTTCTCTGGTTCATCCTCGGGGATTATCTCGAGTTTATTTACGGGAATGTACGGAGCCCGTTATGCTCGGCCGAGTCTTGTTGCTTGCTAGTTGCAAAGGGTAGTATCGTAGGCGCCGTGATACATACTTGCTACATCCCTGCTGTTGCCCTTGGAATGTAATCCTCAAGACAACGGTTCCTTTTCACACAAGCAGAAACATTATCAATCAAGACAGTGCGTCTATCGGCGTCGCAGCACAAGATGTGGAAGCAATTTAGATGCAACTGCAGATCAATCCGCCGTCCGGTTGTACCGCCCCAGTCGGCGAAGACATGCAGACTGCAGCAGTACTCTTCCCCGAAGCTAGACAGATCATATCCCAAGACTGATAATGGACTTTCCCTTCTGGCTAGTGACTTGTCAGTTGAGGTTGATCGCGGGCCGCAGATCATTTTATTCTTGAAATGCACAGTGGGGGTCAATTGTCAGTAGTATCTAGACTATTATCTGCATACCTAGTATGTGATTTTGACACATCCTACGTATCACCATTCAACCGACGCAACCCGCCTTCAGAGGGGATACTGCAAGGCAGGTCAGCCCCTCATCCTTATCTTCTTCGCTTGTTGGTTGCCTAAGCGAGTATATTTGCGGTTTCTGCCGACACGCATCTCAATATATGAGAGCTCAGCTGCAAATCAACCAGCCACTGCATCACAGCAATGACGACGCATGATTACCTTTGTCAGATACATGTAAGGCTTACCTGAGAGCCAACCAGCAGTCAAAATACGTGAGTGTGACAAATTGACAATACACCTTCCCATAGAGGTATAATTTCCAACCAGTGGAACCGGCCAAGTGGCCAAGAAGAATGGAACCAGGATTCAGCGCGCTTTGTTGGCGATACGCTTATCCTGAGTCAGGGACTGCACTGGTCGATGACTAGTAGATTCTGCGACAATAGTCTTACTCTTCTGGTAAAAAAAAATTATTTATTTATGATGTTAGAATTCAGCCTATGGAAATTGTGGATGATTTTGCTGTCTCACTCTCCCTCTCACTGGCCCCAGGAATAAGAATTCTTTTTGGCCCCCCCCGGAGTATTTTCTCATAATGGATTGTGCAATAATCTTCCAAAGAATATAGAAGGCTGGAAGCGAAAACTCTCTTGTCCAGCACTTCCTGGCTGTGCTTAAACCTTATCCATGATCTTATTTTGAGTGATGATGTCCTCTACATGATCAGAAGGACCATGTTGCCTATTATTCATCTTACGTCGTCGAAATCTAATTTCTGAAAATACTCGATATAGAACTGCCTCTTATTCCAGGAATATGACTAAATCACCTGCATAGCACAATCATCAGAAGGCGCTGTCTGGTGGATAAACTCTGCCAAGGATCGTGTCGGGTCTGTGACTAATCCGAATGTAGTTGCCTAATCCATGATCTCCAACCCAACTAACGGGACAAGAAGTGACGACGATGGATCATGAAAGGACATTTGAATCTTAATACTACCTAGGAGCAAAGTAAAAGGCGAACATGTGAAGTCTGCCGTCGCGTGATTTATACCAAATACCTAGTTGTGGAGTGCGTGTTCACCTTTCCACCTTACTACTTCGTAAACTTCAAGAGTCTCTGTGGATGAGAGTTATGTGGCTTAACGAATACGAAGGAGAGTATCGCCACAGGTTTGCTTCAGTCAAGGATTTGTGGAGCAATAAAAAGATTCATGCCTTTAGAGAGGTAACAATAATATGGTCAGCTCGTACCGAGTACCCATGATTCATAATCGGAAATAAAGGGATATGACGGATATACGGCAGTGCCTAGAGGCCAGATAAGGTAATTCCAAGGAGAAGCCCACAAGGCGACGACTAGTGCGTTGGTGGACCAAGTTGGTAGGACCTAGTCCAAAATGGCGTCAGCCATTCCTACTATGATCCATGACTGGTCTG